CACCTAAAAAAGAAATCCCAATCCTTGTTCCTTCGTAATTACAAGGCAATAGATCTGGAGTCATTGCAGCATGATATAAGTAATGTTGATTGGACACCTATTGTTGACAATACTAATATTAATGAGAAGGTTTGTAATTTTAATGATATAATTTTGAAGGTATACAATAACCATGCCCCGCTCAAACGCGTAAAAATAAAGCGTAATCCTGCACCTTGGATTACACAAGATATAAGAGAACTTATGGGCCAGAGGGACAAAGCTAAGCAAAGGTTTAAACGTCTCCCATCTGAAAATAACTTAAATCGTTTTAAATTTTTACGCAACCGCTGCAGTCGCTTGTGTCGGTATGCTAAAAGACGCTACTTTTACAACTCTCTACACAATAAAAATTCTACTGAGATGTGGAAGTTCCTTCGTTCTGTTGGTGTGGGCAGGTCTCCGATCCTAGAATACAATGACGTTAAAGTAAAGGATCTAAACAATCACTTTGCTACTCCTCCTATGACTTTAGATCCTTACATCAAATCCAACACACTACTCGCATTGGCGGGTATACCGAAACCGCACGTTTGCCCTTTTCATCTATCCCTTGTAACGGAGGAAGATGTCAAAAAAATCCATCCTAGCCATCTCTTCAAATGCTGTTGGTATTGATGGTCTATGTGCGAAGATGATTTTGCTAGTTCTACCTTTACTTCTACCAATTCTTACTCATATATTTAATTTTTCTATATCGTCATTATCTTTTCCTTCAGTTTGGAAACAAGCATATATAATTCCTCTGCCTAAGGTTTCTAATCCTTCTTCTTTGTCCCACTTTCGTCCCATATCTATTTTACCCTTTCTTTCTAAAGTTTTGGAACACATCATCCATAGTCAACTCTCTCTCTTCTTATCGTCTAACTCCTTGCTCTCCACTTATCAGTCGGGCTTTCGTCGTGGACACAGCACTGTCACTGCTTTGCTTAAAGTAACCGACGATATCCGTTGGGCCATGGACAATAAATCTCTTACACTTTTAGTTTTGCTTGACTTTAGTAGTGCTTTTACCTCAGTAGACTTTGATATTCTTCTCCGGATCCTGGAATCTATAAACATTTCCCCATCTGCCATCGCATGGTTTGATTCATATCTTCGTGGTCGATCACATTGTGTCCGTGTTAATGACACTCTATCCGATTGGTCGGGTATCACTACGGGTGTACCTCAGGGTGGCGTTCTTTCCCCCTTTTTATTTTCCATATTTATTAACTCTATTACGAGTGTTATTACATCTAATTACCATCTCTACGCGGATGACTTACAGCTTTATCGTCATTTTCTGGTGGGTGATACAAATAATGCAATTGCAGCTATGAATGCGGATCTAGGCCGCATCTGTGAATGGTCTGCATCCTTCGGACTATTAGTTAATCCCACGAAATCTCAGGCCATCATAATAGGCAGTAGGCATTTGCGTAATAGATTAGAATTTACATCACTACCTTTTGTTTGTTTTAATGGCGTTCCTATACCCTTTGCCAATACTGTCAAAAACTTAGGCGTCATATTTGATCACCATTTAACATGGACCACGCATATCGCTGAAGTTAGTCGCAAGGTCTACTTTACTTTGCATTCGCTTAAATGTCTACAAAATTTCTTACCCCTTAAAGCTAAAATATCACTCGTGCTTACTCTTATCCTACCTCTCCTTGATTATGCGGATGCCTGTTATTTGGATGCTACAGAGGAGCTTCTTAATAAACTTGAGCGCTTGCAAAATCAGTGTATCCGTTTCATATTTGGGCTCAAGAAATTTGACCGTATATCTCAGTTTCGTAAGCAACTCAAGTGGCTTCCTATTCGACTTCGAAGGAACACTCGATTGTTATGTGTCCTCTATAACATTTTGCACAACCCTTCCTCTCCCACATACCTCAGAAGCCGATTTTCCTTCACCCATCCTCCGGACAAACCATGCAGAGCCCTTGTTAAAAATCTTCTTGACTTTCCCGTCTTTAATTCCGGTTATTACTCCAACTCCTTTTCAGTTCACGCTGTAAGATTATGGAACTCACTACCGTCAAATATAAGAAATTCCGAAACTTTGTTGATATTCAAGAAACGTCTTAGAGATAACTACTTTGCATCCTGTTAATTTATATATATATATATATATATATATATATATATATATATATATATATATATATATATATATATATATGTATATATATATATATATATATATATATATATCATATGTAACTATCGTATCAATTATTATTATTATTTATTGATTTATTTTATTTTTATTTGTTGTTTTATTTTATATAATTTCCGTAACATTGTGTATATTATTTATTTTTTGTAGTACTAATGTATGCACTAAGTTTGCAATTTAAATATAATTTCCTTTATGGGTCTACTGGAAGATATTTCAGCGAATTTGGAATAAGTAGAACCTTTGTACGTAATTACTATAAGACTGCTTCTGTACCTTAATGTGTGTACATAAAATAAATAAAAAAAAAGAAAAAAAAAAAAGGAGTTGATTTGAACGAGTAGTCATCTCTCTCGCACGTGTGAGCTTTTTACCGGGCTTTCGAGGAGACAATCGCTCCCTTTCCAACCTGTGGCAAAATTTCCTATAATGAAATATAACTACGATTGTTTATAGAATATATTAATTAGTATAGAGCGAAAAAACCAGGCTTTTGGTATAAAGATAGTTAGTTATTCGTGCGCGAGGTCGCGCGGCCAATACGTTTGCAAGTTCACTTCACATTCTAATGTTTACTCTGTGTTTAGCTTAAGCGAATGAATATTGCGAGTTGAAAATTTATGCTTTTTAAATATTTTTAGTGAAAATGTGGGATAATAGTGTTCCTTTTGATGAATTGAAGTGTGTCAAAGTGGTAATCGGTGAGGAAAAGGTAAAATCTTTAAACTTTTTAATAAGTTAATAAGTTGTACTGTTGGTGCTGCTTATTCTTTTCCAACGACAAAACAGCTTGGAATACTGCTGGATATTACGATTTAAATAACTTCTCTGGATCCATTAAAAGGCATATGAATTCTCAAAAACACATGAATGCGGTAATTTCGTTTAGTAATTTTGGAAAAAATCGGATTGAAACATCTTTGTCGCGTCATTTATCTGAGGAAATTACAAAACACAACATGCGTGTTGATCACAACCGTAGTGTTTTTCAAAGATTAGTCGATATTTTTTGCCATTTAACACAACAAGAACTTCCTTTCAGAAGTAACAAAGCGACAAATGGCCGAGTTATTTATCTAGTACAATCCAAAATGACATTATTCATTCTGTCGCTGATGTAATTGAAAACTCGCATCGAGTACAAATAAAACGTTCACCAACATTTTACGTAATCAAATCTTTCCTTAAGAAAGAGAGATGATTCGATTTAGAATATAATTTTTTTTTAATTTTGTACATAGTTCGTTTTTACTTTGTTCATGCTTTTCTTTTGTGCATTTATTGTATTGTATGTAAATATCTTTTTCTTTCGCTCAAGCGAACCCAAACGGCGTTTTTCCAAGCCACCGAAGGTATGCAATTGCTGATATGTCATACAATCTATCCAGCAGTAGTATGGCTTCTGTGTGCTTTGTTAAACACTTCCTCGACAGCACTGAATATGAAACTGAAGAGTGGAGACAGATCAAGATTGGTGTATTTTTATGAAAGTGCTAAAAACAACAAAACCATATATTGGACTTGCCCTATTTTGGAGCCCTAACTTCGCACAAACATCACAAAGGAGTGTTCCAGTTTGTATCCCGGGAGTCAGTATCAGCTGGAGAAGCTATCACCTGTGTCTCAGTGAGAAAGAGCAAGGCCAGCTTCACCATCTCGAGATGGTAGTAGACGGCGTTTAGATTCGAGTGAAGTCCCCTGATATTGCAGAAATTCACGGATAGCGTGGTAGGGGCTACCTTGGTCTTGTTGCTCAGCTTGCCCCGAGCAGTTATTATCTTGAGCACAATTCCCACCCCCCTAATCTTACATTTAATTTCACTACCATGTTGATAGAGGGGGGGAGGAATTGGACCTTAGGCAACCTGTACTCACCAGATGATACGTAGAAACAGAGCTTTCACTCTCTTATATAAAAAAGGAAATCCATCGCCTTATTTGGTCCCTTGGGTGTAAAAAACTAGATGGCAGTACAACTATTTCACTAGACAGCAACTTAATCAAAAATGTGCGACGTCTGGTTCTGCGATCGTCAATCCGCCCGATAATTATGACGATTAATACAAATCGTCCCTATTGTTTATATAGAATAAGAGTGACAAACGAGCATACAGTCAACCTGGTGGTAAGCAGATGCTGTTGTCGATAGACATCTACATTTATCGTCGATTAAGAATCAAAATGTAGAGGCTGTGTCACCTCTGAGGACTAAGATGGAATGCCTCGTTTCATTAAAATGGGTCCTCGGTTTTCTACACTCACCATATGAAACAAAGCAGCAACGAGCTGCTATTCCACGCTGGTATTCCAGAAAAATAATCCCTTCAACACGAGAGGCCCTGCTCACCAGTAAATGTTCACAGGCTAATGAAAATAAGGTTAAGAAGAAAAGAACAAGAAGGTTATTAATATTTTTTTTAAAAAACATTTAAATCGTGATGCATATTTTTTTAATAAATACTGTCTCACCGAAACAATAAATTTAATTAACACTAAATTATCACCGCATAATCTTTATCATATAAAATAAAAGAATTTACTTTAATTATAAGCGGAAAAGCAAGTTGCCTGGTGCATTGGCATCTTCAGTTGTGAAGTACTTCTCCCACAACTCCTGGAAATCTACCCAAGAAATGCTTCCCTTACCTTTTGACAACTTTTCGAATATATCAGTAGCGTCATTTTTATCGATACCCCAAACTACGTTCGCTTTAACGAATTCTTCACTATTAACCGAGCCGTCATTTCCAGTGTCTAGAAGTTGGAACGAGAATTTGCAATACAACTTCTGCTAATCATGGGCACTTGATGGATTCTTAGCATAAGCGTCCCACAATGCAACCCATTCGTTAGCCGATACTTGTCCGTCCTTATTCGCGTCAGCTTGGCTTTGCAATCCGTCCCAGATCTTTAACACCGTGTTAAGGTATTCTTTATATTTTGCTTCATCAACCTTACCGTCCGTAGACTTCGCCAGCATCTGTGCTGACATCTCGAAGTCTTTTTTCTCGATCGTCCCACTACCATCAGTGTCAAAAGTGTTGAACGCCTTAAGATACTTCTTTTTCCGGAATTCAGAAACCATTTTGTTTGCGTACTGTCTCAAGAGTGTAATGACGATTCATCTGAAGGCTTTTTTATATAGTTTTAAGACTACCTGATAAGATTTATTCTTATCTGGTAATGGCATTTTAAAATTGTAGCCATGGATCTCCCTAATAGCTTATAATTCAGTTTATATTTTTCAACCGACTTCAAAAAAGGAGGTGGTTCTCAAGGCGACTGTATTTTTTTGTGTGTTAGCTCAGAACTTTTTTTTAGGTAAACCGATTTTAATTATCCTTTTTTTATTTATAGATACCAAAAGTAAAATACCCGAAACGGCAGCTACGAGCAGCTTCAAGGGTGTTCTCTTCTTATACTGTAATCGGAAATCCACCTACCTAAGGTAGCGGTTGCTTCAAATTCCTCCAATGGTTGACACCGCTGGATCCGTTCAGAAAACTTTAAAAATCTACGAACATTGATAAATTGATGTAGAATAAGTACACTTATCAGAATTGTAAAATTCTATTTCACCTTGTGGTGAAGGCATATGTGAATCTATCACTCCCTTTTGACCTGTTTTTTTATAGGATAACAATGACAAACGATACGCAGTCTACCTGATAGTAACTGGTTACTGTGGACCATAGACATCTACATCTATCCTGGATTACGAATTAAAATGCATACGCGTTGTCATCGGTGAGAACTAAGATGGAATGCCCCGTTTCCAATAAAAATTTTCTCCGGATCTCTACACTATCTATACTAAACACAGCAACGTTGAACCACTATTTTACGCTGGTATTCTGTGAGAGCGTGATCCTAGCCCGGTCGAGCTGACCCGTTCATGCTATACTACTTATATAGCTGCAGTATGTCTCTACCACGTATAAATAACGTGTGTGTGTAAAGGCGACAAAAATGGTGTAGAATTATTATATCTATTGTTACGAGCTTGAGGTTCGTGACAATAAAAGTTGCCGATAGAATTACCTAAATTAACACTTTAATTTAGTTTACACAAATTAAAACTTAAAACACTAATAATTAAACACACTAATTCACTTAATTCCGCTCCGAAGCTTCGCTTGTGTCGCCAAGTTCAACTCTGCCCCGATCGCATCTTGCAGCGCCTATTTATATAATTAGCAAAGAAGCGTCCCGAACATTCAAGTAAATGCGCGCCAGGCAACGAGTATTCGAGTGTAGATTTTCCAGAAACTTAGTTCTTCGGGTGGCGCTGTCGGTCGAGTGATTTGTGATGTCATTTTCTCAATGCTCCCCTCGCTCTCGTTCCTGACACTAGATGGCGCTAGTGTATCGTCGACTAGAGCGCGTAACACTATGAAAATAGCGGTATACCATCAGATTACCAGAGGACCATAGATTATTTTATTAACTATATAAAAAAATATTCGTTATTGGGCATAATTGTAAAAAACACAAGTCTTTTAATTTTTAAGTGTTCTTAATAAATACCCTATGTTAATAATTCAAGATAGGGTATGTTGAATTATTAAGGACACAGTTAATTAGCCCGCCGATACGACGTTGTATATGTCGCAATAAGTTGGTTAAAGTCGCGATATAGCCCTATGGATATATCTATACTAGGCTGCACTAAAAGTATCGGGGATGGAATATTTCCACTGTTTCTATCATATTAAAATATTTTTAATTAAAAACTCCTTGGTTTTAAAAATCGAAAACCATTTATTTATTTAAAAAAATATTCTCGGTCTTGTCACAAGGTTTTGTCAAACTTGTTTAGTCGTTGAGAAAATGGAATTGACTCGAGAAAATTCAAGAGCGATGATTTAATGACTTTCGAAGTGGTTTAACACAAAAACAATGTGTTGACCGGATGATTTCTGCATTTGGTGATGAAGCCCCATCCAAAACCACAATTTATCGCTGGTTTGCTGCATTTCAACGTGGACGTGTCAAGCTCAGTGATGATCTCCGTCAAGGTCGTCCAAAAACTGCAGTCACCCAAGAAAACGTTGATGCTGTGCGTAAGATGATTGAGGAAAATCGACATGTGACATACCGCGAAATTCCGGCAACTTTAGACATTGGCATGAGTCAAATACAAATAATCTTGCATGAACAATTAGGTGTAAAAAAGTTGTTTTCCCGATGGATACCGCATTCGCTCTGTGAAGAGCAAAAAGCGGCTCGCGTTACTTGGTGCGTCAGAACTCTCGAAAGATTCCACGCAGGATCCTCAAATGCTGTATACAACATCGTATCAGGTGACGAATCCTGGATATATGCGTACGAACCCGAAACAAAAAAACCAGTCACGAGTTTGGGTGTTCGAAAATGAGTTAAAGCCAACAAAAATTGTTCGTCTACGGAGTGTTGCAAAAAAAATGGTGGCCACGTTTGTCTCCAAAACCGGCCACGTTACGACTATTTCTCTTGAGGGACAAAGAACGGTTAATGCAGAATGGTATGCTAGCATTTGTTTGCCACAGGTCATTTCTGAACTCCGTAAAGAGAACTGCAACCGCCGCATCATCCTCCGTCACGACAATGCGAGTTCTCACACCGCACACAGAACAAAAGAGTTTTCAGAGCAAGAAAACATAGAATTATTAGACCATCCGCCGTACAGCCCCGACCTAAGCCCTGATGATTTCTATACTTTCCCTAAAATAAAGAATAAATTGCGTGGACAGAGATTTTCATCACCTGAAGAAGCTGTGGACGCCTACAAAACGGCCATTTTGGAGACCCCAACTTCCGAATGGAATGGTTGCTTCATCCTGTACATTCATTTTACATTTATAATTATTTCACTTCATTACTCTAGTAAGATGGTTTACACTCGCTGTAAATATAACAGAACCCGAGCAAACCGGGTTCGATCCCCGCCGGCACCAATGAAATTGTTAATTGCAATTTTAATTGCTGATTTACCACATGCTCGCCGGTGAAGGAAAACATCGTGAGGAGACCTGCATGTCTGAGTAATAAGAAAAAAAATATTTCGGAGACATGTAAAGTTCGCCAACACGCATTGGGGCAACGCGACGGACACTTCCTTGCCTTAAAACCCTCTCAGAAATGAGGGGAGGCCTATGCCCAGCAGTGGGACGTATATATACTGTAACTTTACTTTAATTTACTTTTACTCTAGTAAAATAGTTAGGAACCACCGTCATATAACTATATTACGGTATATAGCTATATCCCTAGGGATGTAACTATATAACGGTTTTAAGCATCTTACTGCGACATGTACATCAATTAACCGTTCCAAACTGTTTATTAGAACGCGGTGCACGGACTATAGTTGAAGGTACTTACCGCCTAGTTACCTGCTAGATTCTATGTGTTGGAAATATAATTTTCTATCAAACATAAACCGAGCACACCCCAACTACTATCTAAATGATTAACGCACCATCGTTTCCCGTCGTAAATATATGTTACGTATTATCGTAAACCTTGCGAACGGTAAAATTCCTACAACGTATAATAGAATACATAAGTGGGCATACTGCGGCGTCTTCGCCTCTTGGATGTGACAGATACGGCGCATCTGTCATGGTCGTCCGCACGCCCACGAGCGCACGGACCTGCAAGAATTGGATGCGGTTATAATATCTCAGAGAAAAAAATTATTCAAATTTTCTTTAAAATTTTAGTATCTATGCTGTAGCTATATTATGACTTGAATGGGGGTGGCTCGACAGCAGAAGTACCAAGTTCTCACTAAATATCAGTATAAGATCTCTGTTTAATGCTGCTTGTGTTTCATATGGTGAGTATAGAGATCCGGAGACCTTTTTTACTGGAAACGGGGCATTCCAACTTAGTCCTCAAGTGTGACAACGCATCTGCATTTTGATTCTTATTCGAGGATAGATGTAGATTTCCATGGGCCACAGAGTTCACTTACCACGGTGGACTGTGTGCTCGTTTGTCACCTTTATTCTATAAACAAATCACTTGTCAGTTTCTTAACTATTATGTCTAATCTCTCAAACAGGGAAATTGATAATGTACTATTGTCAATACCGTTACAGCCTCACGAAAGTCCACAGCTGGTCGTAGGTTTTTCCAAAGATTGTCTCATGAGGAGGATACTTGCCATAATTGCCACACTTGCTAGGTGGGCTGGCAACCGCAGTTTTTATTTTCTAGTTGTTATCAGGAAGACCCTGCTATCATAGATTGCCTCAAAGGAAGGATTTTGCCTTAGTTGCTACGCTTGGCAACTGCACTTTTTTAATTATTTTGAGTTGTTATCAGAAAGATGCACAGGAACGGTTAAATTGTTTTTTTTTTTATAGGACAGGGTGACAAACGAACACACAGTCCATTTGATAAGGTATATGGGTATATAGCACTTACCATCCGGTAAGTGGTTGCTGTGGCCCATAGACATCAACATATATCCTCGATTACGAATCAATACAGATGCGTTGTCAACCGTGATGACTAAGATGGAATGCCTCGTTTCCAATAAAAGGGGTTTCCGCTTCTCTACACTCACCATACGAAACACAGCATCACTAAGCTACTATTTCACGCTAGATTCTGTGATAGTGTGGTCCTTCCCTGGTCGAGCCGACCTATTCGTACTACAACTATGGTACTCATATAACTGCAGCATGGCTCTACCACGTTAAAAAAGTTGTCAATCGCAAGTTGTGCTTTACCACATATTCAGTGAAATAAAAAAGTCTGAGGAAACTTGAAAACGTGGATGATAAAATATTTTGAGAGCATTTGATGTTCCAAACACGCATTCTCTGAAATAAAAGGCACAGATTTAGTGCAAACTAAACAGAGCTAGCCTCTGTCAAGCAATCGACGTTCGATTATATGGGTTTTTAATGCCAATGCATTATCTGTCAGTCAACCCGTGTAGTAACAACATGTTGTAGCAATTACATGTTTAATATTAATTAATACCGTATTACCTTTCGTTGGTGTATTGTGTCGGAATAAATATTTATCTATATTTTATAAGAACTGCCGCATCTGAGTCTCCCTTCGCACATACCGCGTTAGAGACTAATG